CTTAACCCTTAGCAGCAGCTCTTCAAAGATCTCATTATGCATGTAAAAAAAGATGTACCCTGTATCAAGCCTAGAATCCTGCACCACGGACTCTGAGACACTTGATACCACTAGATCATTGTAAGTGAACCAGACCTGATTCTTAAAGTCGTAGGCATCACTGATATAGTGTCCTGAACCGGGGCTTCTTCCGATATGGCTGATAATACCAATTAGCCTATAGGTACAAGGACTTTTCTCATCAGCCTTTTTTTCTGGTTCCTGGGTTTTTGATTCTGTCTTCTTATCAGAACTATCTTTGCTTCTACGGCTAGCCTCCTGCAGAATTAATTCTGTACATCTTGTCAGGCTCACTCTGGGCTGCAGGTTACCTAACTTTAGAAGGCTTTCAGGAAGTGTCCGTTGAGGGGCATCTTTATGGGTTCTTGTCCCATCACTTTCCTCACTTTGTTTGGCCACTTTCTGGGATCTTTCTCTAACTCTGGTTTTGTTGTCTTTGGAAAAGTCTTCAGTGGTCTCACTGACACCATCAAAATCTGACTCTGCAGATGTACTTGTTTTTTGAGACTTCTTCACTTCTACATTTTCAGGTATTTCTGGAAACTGTGCTTCTGTAAGGCAGGTGTCTGGGCTGCTAACAGGTTGAGGCGCAAGTTTGTGTAACAGAGGAAGGGAAGTGTCTCCCAGATTCATCGCTGAGCTGGCTAATTGCTCTTTTCCAATCAGTGCTCCATCTCCTACATGGACTGATTTTGACTCTTTCATATCCAGTTTACAAACTTTGCCAAGGTCTTTCTGGGGTTGTACTCTTTTTTTCCCTCTAAGCACCCTCTGGGGTTTCCGTGAAGCGGGCTCCTTGCCTGATTTAACACCTTTTGCTGTGGAATCCTTGAAACTTTCTAATGTCACTAAAGATAATGAGCAAAGGATTCTAAAGCTTAGCTTCTGAAAAGTTTTTAGTAACTGTACGTCTCTAATGTGTGCATTCTTGCTAAGAGGGACAGGTGGCTTGGTGCCCTCATTGCAATGAGGAGACAAATCTAAATATGTGGAAATGGTGACTGCCTGATCATTCTTCTTTACTAAGAAATACTCATTAAAGTAATAGCGTTTCAGGTGAATAATAAGAACCCTAGGTAGCCTGCTGAACTTGTGTACTGCATCAGCTTTCTTGTGCTTACACTTCTCGCACTTATACTCAAGCTCCTCTGTTATAAAGAACTGATCCAAAGTAGACTGAATAGACAAAGGACATGCTTTCTTTCCTTGCGGAAGGCTGATGGAGAGATAATTACTTGGTTCTCTCTTGTAAACAGCCTGACCACAAGCCTTACAAAAGATAGAGCGCAGCAACTCACTCTCAAAATTAGTCATGACAGGACAATCAGGCACTTTGGCAGCAGAATCACCAGCAAAAACCTGCTGAGGCAAATTTTCTTGCTCAGGTTTGTTTTCAGTTATGCAAACTACATTTGATCTTTGTAAGCCCTCCTTCATCTGCTGTAAGCAGAAGCTTAAAAATTCATGTGCATCATTCTGCGTGTCCACTGCAAATATCTCTGCAACTAGTGAAATGGCTTTTTGAATATTCACTAGTAACTTTGCTTTAATTTTCATATTAAAAACATCTTTCATGACAAGCAGGAGTGCCACGCACAGGCAAAAAATATCATGGGAAATTCTTCCCCATGGGAAACCCTGGTTGAGCACATCATTAACGAACAATGGAATTGAACACAGGGACTGTATGACTGCATTAATGTAACAGGTGTTTCCCAAATTAGGGAGACCTTGCCATACTGACTGTGAGTGGGCTTTACTGAGTGACTTGGGCACTTGGCCACCCTCACTACGATTTAGTGCCTGCAGAAGCTGTTCAAGTGTTTTTTCAGGGAGATACTGGAGGCCGGTATCACCTAGAGGACGACTGTCAAAAGACCTGGCCGTTGATGCACGTGTCAGTTTCTTGCTTTTCTTTAACACTTCTGTCCTTGACAGTTTATTCCAACTGCGGTTTTTATACTTCAAGGGATTTGCCCTGAATCTCTTTCTTATACTGCTCTTTTTTATCAGGTGTTTCTCACTTTTCTTCACCTCTGAATCAGAGAATTGCATTTTCTTCCTATGTTGGGTTTCTGATTCTTTACTAGTAAGTGATACTTTGGATGAAAGCAAAGTTGTATTCTGAGGAACAGATGTTCCACCTTCTTTGTCTGTCCCTGAGCACTGCTCACCTGACTCAAGATAAACACTGGACAATGAAGTTTGCTTGGTCTGCATTGCTGTTCTGGTAGACATGCTCACTCTCTTAGGGTTCATGTGTGGTTCAGGACTGCTTTGAGGAACCTTGTCCAGGAACATCTTCAATTGTTCAGCATCTGCGGAAGTTAATCTTTCAACAAACAAGAAGTTATTATTTTGGAAAGTCAAATGTAGGTGATTGAGGTTTTCTCCATAGGATGTAATGGCTACACTTTTAATATTATTATTTAGGTAAAAAGTTCTAACTTTTCCACACTTGAAGTAGATCAACAATTTAAAATTCTTCTTTCCTTCCACTGTTTCTATTAATGCTCCTTGGGCCTTGGACATCCCTGTCCTCTTGTTCCATATTTGGGCATAACCACGTATCATTATGGCACTCATACTTTCTTTACAAATGCACGTATCCTGGAACTGCTGACAATCTTGCAGCTTCAATTTGTTTCCAAAATTAACCTAAGAAAACACCAAAGAAATGGTTTAGTTCTCTATATAGAATGATCCTATAGATAGTTTTAAACTAAAAATCTCTTCAAATTGTAGACATCTAACCCTTTATAGACTGGACCACTGTTTTTAGATCCACCCATGATTGTGTAGTGTTGATACCCAAAGCAAGACAACTATGAAAAAAAAATCAAGAAAAGTTCTTTAAATTCATAGCAAAATATTAGCATAAAACTCAAACTCCCTTCCTATATGTTAAATCTACTTTCTTTTCTTTTCTTTCTTTTTTTTTTTTTTTTGGTGCCAGAAATTGAACTCACAACCTTTCACTTGCCAGGTGGGAACTTGCACTGCTGACCTATATCCCTGGTCCATTAAATCTACTATCTACCACAATATTTAATATCAGTCTGATTAACTTCCCCACTTCATTTTAAATCATTAAACACTTAGAAGGCATTCAATACATAGCTGGAAAACATACTCAAGTGTCTCAAGTGTATATGTATACAACGTATACATACCTGTCACATAATGACCTCAGAGCGAACCATAGTGAATGGGTCAGAAAGTAGAAACACTCTGTGGACCTAATGCAATAACAGATGAACATTCTTCCTATGTCTAGAGGACTTCATGCATGGGTTACTCAAAGTAAATCCATCTACTTTCTTTCAAATCCAGTTATGTTAACTTTATTTCATTTGGCACCAAGGAATCTCTGTGCATTTTATCCCTCACTGATAAATGTTTAAGAAAACAACTTCTTGCAAATTAGAAAACAGCCTACAACGTTTTCTGCAGTCAGCTCTGGCCACTGGGTCCACTTACTTTTAACTAGCTCTCTGAACTCAAAACCAGCAGTGAAGTTTGGGGTCCAGCTTAGTGGTGGATCATGTGCTTAGCATGTGTGAGGCCCTACGTTCAAGTTCCAGCACCAAAATAAAACTAAATTTACAATAAAGCCTTGGTGGGGAGGACTGATTATACTTAATCACCGAAAGTTAGAAATTTCTGAATAACTCAGGCCAGTGTGAGTTAATGAAAGCAGCACCAGAAATGCTTGCATCAGAAAGTATATGGTTGTGTTCCCTCCTACTTAAATATTCTTTCTAAATCTTGTCTATGCTATTAATTTGGCCAGCAAGCTATCTCTTTATGAGTAATACAAAAGAAAAACTAGTGCTTGATCCATATTCAAATGATCAAAAACTCAACATTGGTAGAGCACAAATTAATAAGATTTTTTATAAAGTATATATAAATCTATCAGCCTGTGTTCAGTGAAGTAAGGATTGCACCCAACCATATAGAAAAGTGCATATTCATCCAAGTGAGAGAACATATATTTATCACAGTGGAAATGGGGCCATAAAAATATTCAAGCACAGCAGCAAATTGCAGTTTTCTGGATTATACACTGTTCTACTGTACAGGCTAAGTAAGGTCCAAACTATTTCCTCTCCACAAAAGCAAAGTCTAAATTGTTCTTTTTAATGGCTTTAACTCCTTGAGAGAATCTGCATTCGGATTTTTGAAATCCTAGCTCATCTACATTTATCAAAAATTGCTGTCTTTTATCAGTAGTGATACTGAAATAGTAAAATCCTTCTGGCAATTCTTCTACCTTCAAAAACCCAGTTAAGACCCATGTGTTTAGAGAATAATGACTACATTCCATCCTACCTTCCTCAGAGTCTGACCTACTTACATATCACTTCAGAATAAAGGAGACTTCCTTGAGCCCACTGAGCATGCAAAATGAAGATGAAGAAACATTTTGCTGATGTGCAGCTGAGCATATTATCTAACTACTACATTTAACTACTGCCCAATTCCCTAGCATTCTTAAACTTAAATCCCCTTCTTGATTCTGCCTAGTCACTCAAGGCTTTCAAAGTATCCCTTAACTAGTCACTTGCAGAAGATTTTAAACTAACATATATAAGTTCTCCAAGACTCTGTTGAAGAGCCACTGTGTGACTACTGTACGGAGGTTCCGGGCCACTTCAGTATAGCAACACTCCCGCTCCCTTTACACCCCCAAATGAGACTTAAAACATGCAGATGATAATTATATTCAAAGGTTATGAAAGCCAACATGGTTTTTGCTTATTTGTCCTACAAACTCAAGTTAGATTTGATTACAGGTGCAGTACACTGGGCTAGTTGCTGATCTGAAATCGTGTCCAGACACTCTCAAAACTACTTCTGTCACATTTCAAGCACATCCTATGTTATCAAGAGGCTGGCCATAGAGCTAAAACTCCCAGGAGAAATGCCTATATTATTGTCAATTTACTAATTCACTCTACATTGGTCTACCTGGTCAGGTCAATAAGATATTTGTTGCTGAGCACCTGCTCTACAGTGCATACCATGATTTGCTGAGGATCTACTCAACCAGCTGTCTTAGGAATCCCAAAATGTACATATTCATTGGGGCTAAATCATTTAGACTCTAAACCATCACTGTGTGTTACAAGAAAAGAAGGATTTCCTTCCAGTGTGCACAAAGAACCTAGAAAAATATCCTTTCGGTGCCATTTTCTGGGGCTTGCAACATACCCAGTAGCATTTGGTAAAAGAGAGAAACCTGTAGTGAGATTTCTTGGGCATTGCCTCAACTCCCCAAAATGTCTGGTTTAGTATCATTCTTTAAAAAGAAATGTGCCTTTGCAGAGAATGTAGGCAAACCAAAAAAAACCCCAAATCCCAGGTTATTAATTTCAAATTAAGGTAATTCTACAAGGAACTGTGTGGCTTTGGAATATTTACCTTCTGGACCATACATTTATATCTTCTACTGTTCATGTTTTCATTATTTCAAATGCAAGAAAATGTTGAAAGCAAATGACTATACACCTTTCAAATTTGAATATCCATTTCTCAATTCCAAAGAGTTCATTACAAAAGAGTAATAAAAGGGAGAAAAACAGGTGACAAATTGTTTTCTTTCAAATATTTCGGTTAAATAGATGATGCCTTAAGAAGACAGCCATTTATTCTGGATACCTTACAATGAGCTACATAGTCTGGAGGCAGATGAATAAAGTCTAGAAGATCCTTAGGCTCAATGACTATGAGAAAGTAATACTTCTCTGTCAGTTCTCCATTAACATATAAGTACTGTACATATGTGTTTATCTCACTGAATAGGTAAAGGTCAGTGTATAGAAGATAGCACGGTAAAGGTGGTGAATTTTACTTATTTTATTTCACAACTTCCAGAAGTCACGTATAGTAAGAAAATAAAGAAATAGATATCATGTAGTAAGAAATACTACATGGAAGCAAAATGGATGGAACTGGAGAACATCACATTAAATGAAACAAGCCAGACTCAGAAAGACAAGTATCATATGTCTTTCCAAATATGTAGACTCTAAAAGGGATGCTATGAAAGTGGAAGAGAGATTACTATTAGGGAAGAATAAGAGAACAACAGGGTATAAGACAGGATAAGAGATATGGCTACAATCAAAATATATTTTATGCATATTATGAAAATTTCACGCTGAAACTCAGTATTTTATAAAATACATGGGCACTAATAATATATATCTATATATGTTTTAAGCAATCCTGTGTAGTTACCCAAGCAAGCCTCGCTGGATAGAATGAGGAATGATCTCCACAAGGCGGTGTGCTAGCCCATGTATGTAATGCATGGAAGAGAGGGCCAGGTAATTACTATAAAGTTGATAATAACTTCTGTTCCTCTCCAATAATCCCGGCCAAGACTCTTCAACTCACAGTTACATTAAACTAAACATATGTTACTATGCTTTGGACAGGTTAATTTCACCGTGGGTCCCATGGAGTGAACAGAAAAGTGGTCATCAAAGCTGCCTTCAGGGCTACATCCTATGAGACTGTGATTCTAGGTATAATATACTTACTAAGCACACTGGCTTTCCCAAGACAGTCCAAATAAAAGACTTCGCGCATCCAACAGTTTTCTCCAATTGGATGATGCGTACCATATCTTAGCTATTGTCACATACAAAAAAGATGTAAGGATGTAAAAGTGCCTTCTCAAAAGCCAAAAGGCATTCATTCATTAAATTCTTATGCACTGAATATTTGAGAGCACTGTACATCAAGCTGTGGGTATAGAATAAAAAGAAACACAAAATCCAGTCTGTCATAACTTCCACTCTAGCCGTGGGATGGAAAATATAGATTTCAAAAATAGGATATAGGATATAGTATCTGATACCGAGAAAACTACTAAGAAACAGTTAAAATAATTGGAGCAGAGTGTGCCAGGGTGATTGGGAGGTCTTAGTAATAATATTATGAAAATCTTGCATGAAGCCAGAAAGCTAATTGTTAGATGCAGGGTGCTCCAGGCAGGAGTAAACAAAAGGAAATTCAGGTAGGAATGTGCTTGACATGTTGGAAACAGGAATCAGGCCGGTGTGGCTGAGGAACAGCAAAGATATTTTAAAAGAAAAAAGGTGAGAAAGTTTTCTAAAAGAGCCACAGTGAATGGACCAGTAACCTTGCTGAGTTAGGCTCTTGGTCATGAACTCATGGTGAGACCAATCAGCACGTTTTGTTTTTCTCCAGCTGCATTCAGCTGCCCAGTTGCCATTGTGCAGGTGTGTAATAGGCAAGTCTTGAATTTAACTTGCTAAAGATTTTGCCATTCGTAAGTAGCCAAGTATGAAGAAAGTGAGAACCGGAGGGATAAGGAAGGGCATAATTATAAATATGGAGCTAAAAAGGATGAAATAGGGACCGAGGACAGAAAGACATGAAAAAGCTTGATGAAATATTTAGGGGGTGGGGTAGAAGCATCAGGGGACCAGGAACCCAGTTCTCATTTCAGTAGCCATAATTCTGCCCCCTGCTTCTAAGCAGCTGTCAACTGCTTGCAGACTTCCTTTTTCTATTCTCCTGCCATCTTCCATTCTATTTTTCTATTCATTCTTACCCTGGCTCCCAAGCTGGAAGTAAATAATAGGAATGAGGTGGGGCGGGGAGATGAATGTTAGGGGTAC